TTTGTTTTATTGATTTATTATTTCCATTTATCATATACAAACAACTAACGAATCACTACCGATTTTTATGTATATTTAAGTTGGAAGTACAGTGTTATTGTTTGGCAAGGTTGTGAGTAACACCGCTATCAATCACTGGCTGCTTAGACTGAAGTAGATGAGGTGGGGTGGAGATTTTGAACTTATTACAACATAGTGTCTATAAGCAAAGTAATTTATCCACTAGACCACTTGTTGTGACTTTAAGTTCGACTAATTATCATGTAACTAATTCACCAATCGACATACGATTGGTTCACACTTGTACTGTACTATAGCAATGACATTCGACCAGTATGAGCAGCTTAGCGTCCTTATTAGTTATTTGTTCTTCTGTTGTGTGTACTACTTATATTGACATAAGTAGTATATGATGTTAGTCGTGAACAGAAGGTCTGGAAGCAGAGAGACATGAGGATCGAACAGTAAAGAATGGAAACAGAATGCAATTTGTATGAAAATGCAAGAACAATGAAGTCTGAGTGATTTTGAGACAATTGGTGGACATTTTTCAAATTAAGCATTTATTTTATGATTGTTCGATTTTATTAATGAGTCCTGTAATGTGTACTCACTAGTGTTCTTCTTCTTCACTACACTTCTGGCTCGTCTACTTCAGTCCAGAACATCAATAAAAGCTTTTTACTATGCGAATTGTTTATTTCAAACATGCTTGGTTTATATACCAGACAAACAGACCATATCAGATCATAAAATAGAAAATAACATCTACACAAGATCAAACCATAAAGTGACTGTGAACGTAGGAGACTGTAATTAATCGATTGAGTATAAATTAAGAATAGTAAGTTGTATCATAGTAGTCTATGGGTCAAAATGAAGCCTCTAATAAGATGAATATAAATAAACATGGAAGTCATAAAGAGAGAGTCATCAAGTTCATATTTATGTACGTATTAGAAATAATTTAAGAAGAAAAGTTGGAATATTCCTAAAATGTGGAAAAAACCATGGTACTTAATTGACTGCCTTTATACTACTGACATTTGTCAGTCTTTCAAAACTATTAACAAATAAAAAAAAGTATTCAGCTTCCTGGCGCTAGACCTAAACAATAGTGATTAAAACATTCGTCTTGAATTTATGTGTTCAGAAAAACACAGTTATCAGTATCTTAGTAAACTCACAATTGTGAAACACTAATACTTGTTCATATTAAAGTCAATACAGCTAGAGCTGATGTGATTCAGCTAACAAACTCAACATTGAAATGAAACTGAAATACATTTGCGTAAATGCCCATTTGAAATGATAATGTGTACGGATCAAATAGTTCTCACTTTTTATTACATATACCTCCAAACGCCCTGGTATTGCTGATAGTGAGGAGAGTTAGCTCTCCCTCTCGAAATGCTCTCAATTAGCCATGTGCATACAACCACCGCCAGAGAAGTTCTACTCACTGCCTTCTCGCGGCATTACTGTTGTTTAGGGAATTGAGAGGACGAAAAGTGAATGTACGGAGCTTTAACCAAGTTGGTGGATATGGAGGATTCAAATAGAGGAGTTGGAAAACCCTGATTCCAAACCAATAGTGTACATGGTATTCAGGATCCTGATGGAACAAATGGCGTATGAACCAATTGTTGATGACCGGCTACCATGGAACATTGCTCCACTGCCTTATGCATCAGACCTTCAGGTCAGAGGTCCGAGTGTGGTCCCTCTAAGAAAACCATCTACTTCGGTTTGGGCACCCGGGCAGTATCGCAGCCCCTATGTATATCTGTTTGGTGCCTTCTTGTACTAATGTTTATGTGTTTAAATAAATAAATAAATCTTCAATATATTTCACTACATATATCATAAAATGAACAATGTAATTATGTAACTATTATATAACAGATAATTACAGATAACAGTAATAATAATAATAATAACAACAATGTGTTTTGTATTTTTAACTAAGTAGTTGTGAACTTATCTCCATAGGCTTGTAGCGTGGAGTCGAGTTGAGATTAACTGTGAACACCACTACCAAGAAACACGTGCCAAGTAGATGAGAAGGCGTAGGTTGAACGTAACCAAAGAAACCCATAAAATCCCCGAGAAGCCAAATACTAGAAGGCAATTAATGGACCAAATCGAGATATTTATTTGCTGGCGATCTGGTGGCATCGAAAGGATACCGAGATCGTGCCAGGGGACAAGCTTGGTTACAAAACGTAACCAAATTCGCGCGAAGTTACAATCGAAAGTGTGAGTATAAGAATGGAGGCACAAAGTAGCTGTCATTAGCACAGTCAAACAAAAGCACGTTAAAACAAACACTGGTACAGTTGGTTATAATAATAATTGTTTTTATTAAACCAGTCGTGTTCTCGTGATAAATGTGAGTCACTACAGGCTCTTACTAAAAAAACTATTCAAGATTTATATCAGTCCATCAAGTTAATTTATCCAAAAGACGTTATATCTAGAAGTTTGTTCTTGATATACTGCGTATAACGTGAGTACTAGAACGCCAGAACCCTTCCAAGTAGCAATGAGAAGAAAGGAGACTAATGAAAGCAATATTATTCCCAGACAGTGTCAATTATAGTACAAAATTGTCAGGTATTTATAGTTTTTAGTAAGAACAAAATCATTATTGCATTCCATCAGGGTGTTATTAACGTTGTCCAATCACGAAGCTACACATAAGAACTCTAGAATATTCTTCCCAAAGGTGATTGGATAGGATATATTCAAGTACTTCTGAGCCTCCTACAGCTTCCTCGAGTTCACCTGTGTTCCATCGTCACAAAAGATGTATGAACAATGAACATTGTTTGACTCTTAAATAATCAAATATTCAATACGAAACAGTACCGAGCTCATTGCCCTATTCATCATTCCTCTCTCTCGCTCTCCCTCACTAAATTTCATTCAATATTAAAACAGAATATCTTGATATTGTGACAAATTTGCTTTTGTATATTTTAGCACCATATTGGTATATTACTGAAAACAAAGGATAGATTTTACACTGATTACAAATATTCTATTACTCGGTGAGACTGTAATTTATGGACGAATCAATCAGATTTACGATAATAGGTCTCGGAATATGGAGCGAGATTCCCTCATTCATTTGGCTAAATAGCGTTTTGGCATTTTAACTGATGTTAGTTCGTGATGAAAACTATAAATCTAATCCTCTTCCCGAATCATTAACTATGAATCACAAACTTTATCAGTTATACAAGTATACACCACATTAGTAAACATGCTCCTTACATTTTGGTGGAGTTTTGTTCACTGAGCATGATTGTTTGGTCGTGGAGCTTTCATCGTTCTTCTGAACGACATCATCAGCACAAACTTCAGATACAAGTGAAGTGTTCGAATTACGCCACATGTGTTTCACAGCTTGTTATGTTCACCTCGATGTTGATTGGTACGTGTGAATCTGTTGGAATGTTATATGTTCGGAGTGAGAGTTGAATTGAACTCGAGTCTCTAAGAAGTAGCTCGAACACAAATAACCTAACATCTTATCTGTGTAAACGTGGGTGCAAACCAAAAGATATTGCATTTCTAATGTGGGATGACATAATTTACGACCGTTCTATGGATATATGAGAAATGTTTAGCAACCATTTGACAAAGCTCAATGGACAGCGACCTGATCATCTCAACAATACAACACTTTCATCTAGTAAATGTGAAAATGCATCATTCGGTGCTAAAGTGTGTATGGAGCAATCAATTGTCTTCAGACTACAACAGGTATAGAAACTGACGGTATCCGCCTTGTATTTCCTAAACGATGTAATGACGCACCACTTATACTTATTCACATATTTCACATGATATCAGATATAGACGTATACTCAAGTAACTGGAACACCTGCTACATTGTCACGCAATACAACACTGGGAAAAGAGAGAACTCTGCTTATTACCGATCGACGAATATCAATCCAGTCATTTCACGAATCACAGAGAGTGTTGTAATGTACAGTGTCTAAGATTATTTACTAAATCGGAAACATATTGCTAGATCACAAGGCGGTTTCTTAACAGGAAGGTCGTGGATGACATTGCACTTTGAGGTCTCTCACCGCATAGCATAGCACAATCCCATGAAATAATACAACATAGTGCAATCATTTATTTTGACATATCTCACACATTTTATAAAGCATCCAATCGTATTTCGTATTAAAATTTGCATCAGACTGAAATCCAAGTTGGCTTATTCACACAGCTCTCATCATTCAAAGATGGAGACAGTGGAGATGTCGATGGGTGAGAAGAAGTAGCACAGTTGTCAGCATACACATCACACTAGACAGTCATTCAACACTGACGACTTGTGACACAGATGTGTGAATACACAAAACCTAGTAACAACAAAATGCTATTTCTGTTCTCCAAAGTTAGTTATTAGATCGTCAATCAAGAAAAGCAACAACGTAATTCACTCATGTTTATTTCATTTCAATTCAATATCAAAAATACACAAATGTGTTTACTGTAACCAGTTTAATAAAACAGACGAACAAACAGTCTTCAGAACTCGTCATGATACCTGAAAACAAAATGAGAGAAGGATACACGATGATTCAGTACAAGTAAAATGTATACTAGACTATGATTAAGTTCAATTGAATTACATTGACAAACTAGTCGAACTGAGTAGCATTCATCTTGTCAAGTGAAATTACTGTTTGAAAGTTCGAAGTATCACATTTTCACTTGATCGGAAACTGGACGTTTGTGTGTGTGTGTGTGTGTCTGTGTGTGTAATAACAGTTCAGTTCGTCCGTGATCCAACCAAATGCGACGATACGTAAATACATACGATTCGTAAATTCCCGTTGACTATTAGGAAGATGATAATCGGACAACATATCGTGTCCTTGAAATGGATTGATAGTTAACTGATGACTGTATATTAGTAGGATCAGTTCAACAAAGTTTACTTACCGCATTCAATGACGTGCCTTTTTATTCTATGAAGCCATAGGTTCATCAGGTAGTCGACGTGGACCATGATAATATGTATAGTATTTAGTGTGATTATTCTTCTCATCAGCAGTATGACCACCACTTTTATTAATATTGATATTCATAATAATGTTATTATCATTATTATCAACACTTTCATTTTCTATCTTGTACTCAGTTCCGTTAAATTCTTCCTTATCCAATTTGACTGTTTTATTATCGTGATGTTCTATCGTTTGATTTACGACGAAGATCGGTCCCAATTCGTCATTCTCGTCATCAATACCTGTTTCCTTTACTAATGGCCCTTTGATGATTTTATGTTCACTTTTATCTTGTCCAAATGTGTCGTTGATGTCATTGTTAACACCAGGTAAAAGCGATGAACCTAAATTTAGAGAAAGATAAACGACTGGTCAATTTACAGTGATACACCGAATAGAGATTCACGAGACCCAATAAAACAAGTCAAACTAACAATTGATGTTCCATTCAAAATACTGTAACATTGATACTCATAACTCACTGCCAATATTCAATAAACAGTATTCTCCTATTCTAAGTAACTGTTCAACCACATTGACTAGATCATTCACAATCAATCCATGTTATTCTCACGTCAAATTAATTACTCAGCCTTATTTGACTGAATCGCATTCAACAAGCACAAATGTCACTTACCCGAACAAATCACTTTCCTTACAATAAGAGTCTCACATAATATAATGTATATCAAAGAAATATTTGGAACGTACGTGTATATGCGGGAATGAATGTGACGAGCATTGTGAGGCATAAGATGTTGCACATCGTTGATAAACGCATTTTGTCTGTCAAATGAAGTGAACTTTGAATGGAGTGGATAGTTGATCACATAAGAAACACCTCATGTTTAAATACTGATACGGACCTATGAGATCTAATCAAATTTGTGAAATTAATTAATGGATGAACTCATCCGATTGGTGTTCTCTTCGTCTGGTTCACTCAGTAATTTGGTAGTAAAAGTGCACATAGACTGGTCATAATGGAATGTGAATTATCATATATTCTACTGTGCATCAATCAACTACAATAACAACATCAACAGTTCACGATGTGTGCGTAATCTACATCAAGCTCACTCACTGCATTGATTCACCAAGTTCAGTTCAATGGTAAAATTAGTAGTGAATTAGTTAGATTAGATAATCACACTAACATATCTCACCTTGATAATATGACCAGAGAAATGTCAGCATCATTCTCTCTTTCAACTGAATGCTGAATAACACCTTTATATTTTGGTATTTCAGCATAATTATTATCAGTGGTCTTATGAGTAGAATTCTCTCTGATTTTGATGGACTCAACTAATTAGTAGTTTGTTGATCACGTTGCAACCAAATGACATGATGTGATCATCTCAGTGTTTCCATCAATTCTCTCACTTGTACTTGATAGATTAACAATAGTTGAAGATAGCAAATTCATATTGGCTATGTGTTGAGGTGGCTAAATCAACCATGTGCTGAAGTAGAACATACATTATGGAATTTTATTGTTCAAACACTGACTAACATCACACGAGATCCAAGCTCGCCATAATTGTGTTAGGCATCGGGTCGTGCTTTGAAATTATGCGATACAACTTTTTCAATTTATAATTGTTATAAAGTAGATTTTTAGAGCGGGTGATGTAAGCTATGGCCTCGGGAAAAGGCGTACGCCGAGTTTGTTCCAGACGTCAGAGGTTCCATAGCTGTGCCCTCAGATCAAGATTCTAAAACAAGATTAACAAAGGAGCAGCAACTTGAATATTAACGCTAAACAGTGCTTAACATTTTGTAGTGAACAGAGAGAGGTATGGAAAATTATTGGATTAAATTCATACTAAGCTCTTGTTGCTACAGTGAAATGTGATGCTAGCCATGCATTTCTAATGTGAAAGTATGAGTTAGCATGTTTTAGGTTATCTTAGTAGAATGGGTAATCCAGAATAAAATTGGAAACCAAATCTGAATAGTGAGTGTATCACAGACTGATTGACATGTTCTCATCATAAAACGTTGGTACAAGCAAAATGTTCTGCTTCAGAAAAATGGATGGATTGACGTCGTCGGTCTCACCATAAATGCTTACTGGTCAGTACCTCCACACTCCCTCCTTTTGTGATGTTAAGCTCATTTGACTTTCTTTGGATATACACCATACATCACACAATGCTCTGTGTTTCAACATTCGGCTGGAAACACTATTTCTATAAGTTCCATTTTACAAGCTTACCAGGCAGTTACAAATTATGGACTGAGGGAAACTCATCGATGCAATGCTTTAATTGACCATAATATGAAGTATAGATTGCCAATCGATGTGCAAGCATTAGGAAGGGTATAATGTGGGATAGTTGTTTACCAAAGTAGGCGGAAAGTATAGGAATTTATGAGTTATAGATGAGGTAACGAGTGGTGAAATGAAAATTAGTGGCCAATCAACATAGTGTACTGGAGAGTAAAAATCTGATAAAGATAGACAAGAAGGACCTCACTTAACTTCGTGCTGATGTTATTTTGCTCTACCCCAACCGGTTGATGGGTAACGGTTCCATATATTCAAGACCACTCTCTATCCAATCCTGTCCTGTACAATCCTTTTCAGTTATTTCAGTTGTTATTCATCTTCGTCGTGTTTGCTTCCAATTATCGACTCACCGTGTACTTTGGCTATCATATTTTCTGTTTCTCTTCAGGATCTCAAGTTAGGGCTTGCCTCGTGCTGCAGTTTGGTGATTTCCGTGATGTATGTCCTGTCCACTTCCATCGTCTTTTCCCAATTTCCTCTTGATCTGTAAGCTGGTTTGTTCCCTCCCACAATAGGCTATTACTAATGGTATCCAGCCAATGGATGTTAAGTATCTTGTATAGATAACTATTTATAAGTACCTACACCTTCTGAGTGATGGTTATAGTTGTTCTTCGAGTTTCAGCTCCGTACAGTAGATCTGACTGTTTTGAACGTTCGTATTGAAGATCGTGACTTTATTTGGCTTGCAGATACTTGTTTTCAGTTCTATATATTCTTCAATTTTAACCTTAATAAAAGTTTGAGAATTTTAATAAACAGTTCAAATTTACAACAGAATTGTTCAATGCTTTTCCTTCATGAAGTCATTATTGATCAAATAGAAAATTTATACTATTGATAACAAAGATATATATGGTACCGTGAATTAGTCGATGTCATTCAGGACTTCAAAGGCTTAAAAGGTAGTATTGCTGACTGTGAAAATGATGTCGGTTTCGTTTAATATACTCCCGCCTGGAGTCCCTCCGGGAGCTACTGCCGGTCCCAAGCTCGGATAAAGGAGGAGGGTTGGGCATGGTGTTAGCGTCCCCATCCCGTAGAAAACTAACTCGCTAAAAAAACGCTAACCAGAAAAATTATTCGTTTAATATTCTGGATAAGGGTCAACAATCATTAGTCCTAAACTTAGTTCAGAGCCTAGATTCATGTAAAGCTCTCCTCACTGATATCAAAACCGGTGTTTGTTCTTTTCTATGACATTGCTTTATGCACTATGATACCTAGTATACTTTTCGTGCCTTGATATCTTCGAATCAAATGAATCACATATTATATACGTTCCAGGTAATGTTAAGTTTCCAACTAATATTGATTTGCTCATATGAAACTAGTCAGTTATATGGAGACTATTAAATTATAAATTAGGTAGAGAATCCGTCCATTTGATGTAAACTGTGCCGGTCCCAAGCCCGGATAAAGGAGGAGGATTAATGGGAATCTACGATTCCGTCTTGCAAGGTTCGAACCCAGAACCTATCAATCTCGTGTGCGAGCACTTGACCATTAGACCATTGAGCCGAATCTCGCAAGGCAGCATCGTGGATGAGCACTGCTAAGGAGGAGTCCCACACTACGACGGAACGGCAATCCAGTGCTTCCAGATTTTCCATCGTGGTCTATCTTCAATTGACTCATGTATTTAACTATTAAATTATTATAATATCCATAAAACCCCTCTCTGACAATAAGGGGTAGCTTTGCTGCTGCATAAACTTATAGATCTCTATCATATTATTGATAGCATTTAAATATCTTCATGTTACTTAAATACTCATGTCATTGAATAATATAATTTATTATTCTGTTAAATGTCTACGGTCACATCATGATATTTCAACAAGATCCTTGATAGGAGTTTAAGAGTGTAAAGATAGGACGTATGGGTTAGAGCATCCTTGGGTGTATTAACTCATCCCTGGCAAGTACTAACTTGCACAAAACCTAAATAAGGAGGTTCATCGAAGTCACCTTACCACTGTTCATTTTTTCTTACTTGATTAAATGTAAAACAGATACAATTGAAGAAGACCAGTATGGAGATTCAGATGGTGAGATAGATGGTGATTATGAATATGAGGATGGAGATGGAGATGAAACGGATGTTGAGAATGAAGATGGCTATGAAAATGAAGGAGTACTGAATGATCCACATTTCTATAGGAAAGGACATTATAAGAAATGAGGTAGGTTTCAGTATGATGTCTATTCGTAATAAAAACCCTAAATCTTATTCTTAACCCTAACTATCAACTATAAATATTAATCTAAACTACTCACAATGGGTTATTATCCTCATTTAACCGCACTGCATAGCTTGACGTTCTCAAGGTCTTTTTAAAGTCTCTCAAAGGTGATCCATAAAATTATACTCTCAACGTTCTATTCTGTATTCCATAAAAGTGAAGTTAAATCAAGTCATGAGTAATATAATAACTACCGGTAGAGTTGGATGGTATAGGTTGATGTGATATTTGGTACTATAAAAGGTAAACGTTCAGCTTATTGAACTAAAAATAACTCATCAACTACGTCCATGATTCAATGTCTGTCAGTTTCATGTGGGAATGTTTCAGAGGAATCAGAAACTAGAAAGATGTAATCATATACTTCTTATTTATTTTCACAATACTTTACTTGATATCAATCCGCAAAAACAAAACAAAACAATATACATTCAGAATTCATGTTATATATTGGGGTAATATCTAGTAATAAACATAAATGTATAATTACGTTATCAATTAGATCGCAACCTTCGGTGCTACCTTGGAGTGGTTATCAAGCTTGCCTATCGAAATGAACCAATCGAGCTATACTGGCTGAAACAATCGTTTCTCAAGGTTCTACCGTGCCAGACAGGTCTGTTGAAAAGCGGCAAGTCTAAGAGCTGCAAACGCTAGGTCCGAAGGCGAAGTCGTACTGCTCACTGCACAGAAGTGTCACGGCAGTAAGGTGTTTTCTTCAGACAACCAGCATAACAGCGATTCTATGTTCCTACTAGGGGTGGGGTGTGGTTGGGTTAGAAAAGGTCGACTCTAAAATTGC